ACTCCTACCTCTCCCTGAAGGAGCTCGTCGACAAGTCCAGCAAGGCGACGGCTCAAGGGGAGGACCGCTCGGATTCCGAGAAGAAGATCGATCTCCTCAAATTCGTCGTCAAGACGCAGCAGCGGATGCTCAGGCTTCACGTGCTCGCCAAATGGTGCCAGCAGGTTAGGGTTTCTGAGCTCTGGCTGAAGGTTTCTTGATTCTAGAGTTTTATGTCGGGATTCGTGGATGGGGAGTTTAGGGTTGGGAATGTAGAGTTGAGAATTGGAATTTGCGTAAATGTTAGGGTTTGAGAGCTCAGGATCCATCTGCTGGCCAAATGGTGCTTGCAGGTTGGGGTTTCGGAGCTCTGGCGGTAGGTTTGATTCTTTGGTTTCTTGTTGGTGGACCAAGTTGGCTTTTTAGGGTTTTATGTTTAGATTCTTGGAGTGGGACTTTAGATTTGTGGAGAGAAGAATGTGAGGTCAGGGAATGTAGAGCTAAGAATGGGGATTGATGCTGTTAAACTTAATCTTGGATGTGACTTTACAACGATCTTGGATTTTCTGCTTAAAACTGGCTTTTTGCTGATGCAGAACCGGAGGTTTTATTAGAATAGAGGGGTGGTTGAAAGGAAACCTATAAATTAAATTATTCTTTGAAGCCTATGTTTAAGGGCAGTTTCTGGGATTTTATGTTGAGGTTCATGGATGAGTATTTTAGAATTGCAGAGAGAAGTCTGAGATTTCAGAATGCGGACCTAAGAACTGGAGCTGACACTCTTAAACACAACCTTGTGTGCATAATTGTGGATAAGAGTTCACAAGATCTGATTTTGTTGCTTCAAAAAATGGCTTTGCTGATTGAGAACAGAGTTTTACTAGAAAAGAGAGGTTGTTAAAATGAGACCTAATAATCCTCTTAAATTTAAGTTTAAGGTGTAAAATTTTTAAGCTAGGTAGGTTAGTGAGTGATGACTGCTATGAGGGTAAGTGCGGAAAAATGGAAGTTTTGATCATAGAAGCCATAAATTTGTAGAGCCAAGTTCTTAATCTGATATGTGTTAGTGGCTTTTGCATCTCTTATTAATATCTTTTTATTTGCCTAATAACTTTATGTTGGAAGTCTATAGCAGTATTGTGAACTAAGTATTTTAAATCTAACATAACTGACTTTGTGCATTGGAGGTCACTAAATGCACCAATAGAAGGGAATATAAGATTATAGTTAACGGAATAAGGAGGTTTCGAGGTATGCCTAAGAGAATTTGATCGGAAGTGATTAAAAAGTTAAAAAGAATATGGTACCTATTAACTTAATGAAAGTGATAAATTTAACATAGTTGAATGAAAGAATTGGGATAAAACCTTAATTGTTACTGTCCGCCTCCACAATCACATCACAGTAGAAGAAAAAGTGGGAGTGTGACAAATGACAATGTGACCCGTGTATGAAACAAAGTCTCACACATGCCAAGCTCAATCACGTAATGTTTCTCAAAGTAATACTTCCCAAAGTTCATGAGAAAATTTATATAATACAAGTCTTAAACACAACCTTAAACGATAATATTCTATACCTGATCATCACCATTATAGTCGGCTACTCAAAATGACAATTGGAGGACTTCAATATATGACATCTTCTAACAATTTACTTGATCACTAAAATCTGGTAGAATTTGAAAAAGTGTTGAAAACCACGGGGTGAGCTAATTCTCAGCAAGTACATTATTCTACGCTAGTTGGTTAGATTAGTTTTACAGTATTGATATGTCAATCTTCATAGTAATAGTACTTGTCAAAGTTTCTCTTGAAATTTCTAAATCATATGATAGATGTTTAAAATCACTTATTGGGTGTTAGGAAATACTACATGAAATATTCAATCTATCAAACAAAAACTTATTATAAGTCACTTGTCATGAATCTCTTTAACAAATCTTGAGCTCATGAAATCACATGTATCAAATATACCAAACTCATGTACAAAAATGTGATTGTCAATTTCTAAATCATTTCATGAATCACTTGAAATCTAGAGTCTCGATAATCATATATGCATAAAATTTGAATACATGAAAGTCATGCATGAATAAAAGGCCACATCACTTATGCTTAAAAGGCCACATCACGTAGACTAAAAGGTAACTGGAAATAGAATACGTAACCTTGCCATAAGTTGCCATAGGTTTGTTTGATGGCCACACCACTTACACATAATAGGCCACACCACTTGCACATAAAAGGCCACGCCACTTATGCTGAAAAAGGCCACATCATTTATGCTAAAAGGCCGGGTTATACTGATAAGGCCACTTTTGTTATGTGTTATACTGTTATGTCAAGAAGGCTACTTTAATCGTGCCAAAAAGAGGCCAAATTTACTTATACCGAAAATGCCATAGCAAATTGCTTACATTAAAAGGCGACATTACCTATGTTGAGTCATCACTTATGCCAAAAAGGCCACTTCACTTAATGATGCACTGAACACATATGGCAGACTTAAATCATATCACTCCATAACGGGCTTTTTTAGGGCCTTTAGAGCGTCGAGAAACCAGACCAAATCGATTCTTTCAATAGCACATCACTTTTACCATAGTAATATTGCTATGATGGTAAATCAATTATTAATGTTTTAAAAAGAAAGCGCAATTGATGTGTCCGTCTAGGCCGAAGTGGTACCTAGGTCACCTGCCTAGGTCTTTGGAGCTCCTAGGGGAGCGTGAGTTCATTGCTTACACAGACTGCATCACTTAGATCTTGGTCGTGATTTTCTCCATTGTTGCCTCCGCGTCCTCCAACTTCCACCGAATATGAACATCTTCTCCACCTTCTCTGACTTCCAACAAAACCCCTCTGCCACCACTTAATAAATAAAAATGAAAGAAATCCACCTAACCCCCCCCTCGCCGCATGCACACGATAGGTCCCTAGCAACGACTAGAGCTTTCTATAATATTGTTGGACACTGTAATTGATGAGTATCAATATATACAAATTCAACATGGGATGACAAATCCCTTACAACCCAAAAGTAACTTTGGACTTTACGGGTTAAATCAACCTTAACTCTTCATTAAATAGTAGAAGCTAGTGATTAGGTGGGTGAAGGGTGTATCTTAGGTTGAACTTAACAATTCTCTTTACTTTATTATTCTACTCTTTTCCTCTTTTTCACTACCTATGTTTTCCAAAATCAGATCTAAGATGAAAATGATAAATGATGGATTCTCTCATGCTCCTCTCCAGATGGAATCTTGCCACCCTCTCTAACCCAATGACATTAAGACCCTCGACCTTTGTTATGTGGGTACTTCCATCAGGAAGCCATACCCGTACCCAACATTTTGTGGACACTCCTTACATATATGCATACATTTATTCAGACGTGTACTCAATTACGTAATATATGTTTTAAAAATAAAACACTCGTCGTATGCTTGTTGGATATATATATCCTACACTTCACATCCACTTTTGAAACTTGTTGGATAAGGATCGGGTTCGTTTCAACCCATATTCAATTAAAAATTACGATATCAAAGGTTCATTTGCGTATTTAGGTCAGAGCTATGATGTCAGCTATGACTTTCAGTCATGTTCCCGTACCCTGCATTTTATAGATTTGCTGTGTCATATACCAGTATCCACACCGGCACCTATACCTGTATCCATGCAACTTAGCACTTAAGTCGTACACTCAAAAATCACCCAATGCATGTCTGTGTGTGGGCGTTTCAATAGAACACTTGCATTTTTTAATATTTAGAGCTTCATCCAAAAGTATGCTACTTAGTTACTTATTCTTGATTATGAAAGAATTTTTTGGGTTATTAAAGTTAATGTTCTTAGAGTCTGAATGGTACTGTATCAACAAATTCCTTTTTTGCATACTGTCCATCGCTGGTTTTTGAGTTAAATGCTGCAAATTTTCAATGATGATAATTTGTATACTGCCATACATGGTTGGTTTTTGCATACCATCCAACACAGGCTTTTGAGTTTTGTATATTGCAAATTTTCAATGATGGATCATTTCTATACTGCGACGCGTAATTGCTTTTAGTAATTCTTCTTGAGTAATCTTGTTGAGCGTTAAGTTCTAATATCTGCAGGTTCCATTAGTCCACTATTGTCAACAACTTGCTTCAACTCTGTCCAGCCATGATACATGTTTCACTCAAACTGCGGATTCTCTATTCTTCATGCATGAGGGACTGCAGCAAGCTCGTGCTCCAATATTTGATGTACCATCTGCAATTGAAGTCCTCCTAACTAGAGGGTATAGCCGGTTGCCAAAATGTATAGAAAATCTTGGAATTCAAGCTACACTTCCAGAGGATCAGCTTAAACCTGCCTTGAGAAAGCTGAATACACTCGTGAGATCCAAGCTTCTCGAAGTTTCCCTTCCAAAAGAAATTTCTCAAGTGACAGTTTCCGATGGTACTGCCATCCTTCGTGTTGATGGAGAGTTTGAAGTTTATCTTACTTTGGGGTATCGTGGACATCTCAATTTGTGGAGGATTCTGCATCTGAAGTTGCTTGTAGGTGAGAATAATGGGTTAGTTAAGCTCGAAGAAACACGAAGATATGCTCTTGGAGATGATCTGGAGCGCAGGATGGCCGTTGCGGAGAATCCCTTTATGATTTTGTACACGGTTCTTCATGAACTCTGTATTGCCCTTGTTATGGACACTGTACTTAGGCAAGTTCAGATACTGCGCCAAGGCAGGTGGAAAGATGCTGTACGTTTTGAGCTCATTGCTGATGGTAATGTGGGACAAGGTGGAAATGCTACTTCTGTGCAGATGGCCCAAGATATGGAGCTTGATTCTACTGGCCAAAGGATTCCTGGTCTGAAAATTTTCTATTGGTTAGATTTCGAAAAGGGCCTATCTGGACCTGCCTCTTCTTCACCCCCATTTATCAAAATCGAGCGAGGACCAGATTTGAAAATAAAATGTCTACACAGTTCATTTGTCTTTGATCCACTTACTGACAAAGAGGCTGAACTTTCACTTGACCAAAGCTGTATTGATGTTGAAGAACTTTTGCTGAGAGCTATTGCTTGTCATAGACATACTCGTCTGCTTGAAATCCAGAGGGAGTTGAGTAGGAATGTTCAAGTCTGTCAAGCTTCAGGTGATGTTATTCTTAAGCGCGAGGGAGATGAAATTGATACAGACTCAAGAAAGGTGTGCTTGCTGAAATCCAGTCAGTTTATGTCTGTTTCCCATTATCTGCTCTTTCGTTTTCATTTATGTTTTAGCACTTTTAGTGATGGCCTGATAAATGAAGTTACTTCAGACATCTGAAGTATCAAATTTGACCTTTATCCAGCTGCAGATGGATGTCAGGCTTGCTGCTGATAAATGCTTTGGGGATGAAGTACTGCATGTTCGTGCCTATGGCATATCATATGTCACTCTTGGAATAAACATCAGGTTTTCCTCTCATTTATACTTCTTTTAGCATACTGTTCTTACATTATGGTGTTCGTAAGGTTTAATCTTAAACTATGCTAGGAGAAAGATTTGTTAATATCTAGAATCCTAATTATTATGGCACTAGTTATACATATCAACTAGACTTTCTTTTAGCTAATGAGTTTTTGATCATATTATTGCTTGTTCTCTCATCCTATTACATCAGACACACTATGGTATGTTTGATCTTGTTTTAACCAGGAAAAACTTGGAGTGCTGTCAAGTGGAAAATTACCTGTTTAATGGAAATCTGAAGCAGGAATTCTCAGTATCACTGAGAGAGCAAAGTTTTGCTGTGTCCAGATACAACATGACATCCAGACATCTGTGTCCTAGAGTTCAGACACTTCTGACGTAATTAGAAAACAAGAAAATAAGATACCACTATTACTGTAGCTAAAGAATGAAAAGCTAGAAAAATATCTGTACTAGATGTATAAGGGAATAATAGAAAAGATTAGGTGTCAAAAATACTCATGCATCCAAAACCTGTATCTGACATTTTAAAAATATGTCAAGTTGCCATCTAGATAGACATATAGTACTAAATAAATAGTGTTAAATAAGCCTGTTGGTTACATCAATTTTATATTCACTTCACGTGCCTCCATGTCCTGTAAATTTGCTGTGTCGGACACTTGACACCCGTTCCCGGAGTCATGTAACAATGGATATTTACACGAGTGCTTCTAGCTGTAGAAAGCATGATGTTTTTGCAACAGCGCAGTCTGTGGATATTGACAACTAGGAACTTGTTTATATTAGGTCTTACTGAGGAAAAAGTGACCGAATAAAGCAACAGACTGTATTTCTTTGTTGTTCAAAACTTCTAATGTTGAATGATGTTAATAATTATACTGTACTTCACTGATTATTGATCTGGCAGTCGATTTCCCTGAGATAATGATTCCGTATCGAGCACACATGTACCTTCGAGTCTTAATTCTGTTCTGACATGTAGAGAAGAATGTGCATAATCTGGTTTTTAGAGTTGATGAATTAAAAGCGCTGGATACAATTTAAATGGCATGCGCTGATCAATGAAGTTAGTTTTAATTTTAACTAGTATCCTGGTGCACACGACGCATGCACAGAATATTGAGGAGTGTGGTAGTTGAATTGTCAAGGGAATGAATGGTTCCTTAGATTTCTTTTTAGATTATTTTTCAAAGGGTGAGGCAATTCCATATTTTTTCCAAGTGGGAGAGTTTTTTTTAAACTTTTTCCCAAGTGCGAGGGCAATTTTGGCATTCTAACAATTTTGGCAATTCTGGATAATAATCCACTTGGCTTATAATTCACAAATGGTTTATAAGCCAAATGGAGTATAAGCCAAAGTGTTTGGTAAATTTAGTGGATTGTAATTTATTTACAATAGTAGAGTGTTTATCAAATGGGTGAATTCTAAGCCATCATTGTTGTCAAAATGATCAAAAAACCTTTAATGGGGTTGAAAAGAAATACATAATGCTTGGAATTTTCAGAAATGATGAGAGGTATATTAGTCTTTCATGGTCAAACCTTGTGGCTTGTAAGCCACCAAAAAATAAGCTAGAGTAACCTAGCATATTTTGTCTTGTAAGCTAAAATAAGCTATTGGCCAAACATGTATAAGCCACTTTGACCACTTATCAAACATGCTTGAAGCTTCTTTTAATAATATATAGTATATATACTTGTATATTGTAATTGATATCAATAATGAGAATCTCCTTGGCAGAAAGACTGCTAGGTGCTTTAAAAGCGGAATCTTCCTATAGTCAAAGCAATTAGTTGGTATAGGTAGATGGAAAGAACGACCTTTATCTTAGGCACTATAACATAAACTTGAAACACATAATGATGAAGGAATGTTGTCTCTATTTCTATCTATCATGCAATATAAAATCCATGATATGTTGTGAGAAAGGTACATTCACTTATCGTTTTATTCAAATATTAAGGTGACTATATTTAGTGATAAAACACCTAGCTATCATTTTTTAACTGTAATGATTGATCATCACCACTGTAAACTCAACCTGTGCGTTTACCATACATTTTAGTATATATCACTATATAAACTATTTTTAACCTTCGAGTACCAAAAACACAATACTTCTGGTGTTGAAATCCCAGAAACTGCTTAAATTTTTAATAACTGTACCTTTTGTTTAAGGAATATAGTGGTACCTAAAAAGCTACAAGATAATGAAAGTGTGGCATCAAAATTTAGAAGCTCAGTCAGAGAGTCCTGCTGAGGTTTATGATAATGTATCCAAAAAGTTAATTTAGGAAATCTGAAGTTTTTAATATCTTACCATTCAAGTACTGTGCAAATTTGGTCAATCAATAATGGGGAAGTTTGTGACTTACTCATTTTATATATGTAATTCAATGATGTTTATAGTAACTTCTGCGACTGTCTTCAGATGCCATTTTGTCATTGTGTATTTGTCATATGTTTCATTATTCATCAAATTCATTACATCAGAAAAGTTAAGTTAGGGGAACTGAAGTTTTAGTATATTATACCGTTCAAGTACTGTGCTAATTTGGTCAGTCAATAACTAATGGGGAAGTTTGTGCCTCACTCATCTTATGTTTGCAATTCAAGGATGTTTATAGTAAGTGACTTCTGCGACTATCTTCTATTTGGATGTTATTAATAATTATGTATTTGTCGTATATTCATTATTCATCAAATTAATTATCCAAGTCTTTCGCCCTAAAGCATGGGACTAGTTATAGAAGCTCCTTAACTTCAAGAAAGTTATACTAGATTACTGGTATTTGTAGACAGGGTTAAGCAAGCTGTCACTTGATTGAGTCTTTTTGTATAATTATCTCATCGTGATGTTTGATTTTGAGCCATATGCCTACCAATTCTGAAGTTTTACAATTAATCTGTCCAGTGCATACCTTTCTAGTTCCTAAATTTCATGTTTTATAAAATTCTCATATATTCTTTTGAATCTTAGGAATGGCCATTTCTTACTGCAATCCACACAAAATATCCTTGCACCGTCTGTATTGTTAGAATGTGAAGAAGCTTTAAATGTGGGAAACATGACTGCAACAGAAGTTTTTATAAGTATGAGAAGAAAAAGTATCTTGCATTTGTTTGCATCAACTGGAAGGTCTTTGGGACTTGAGGTATTTCTCTAATCTTCTTTCTAGTGGAATATACGTAAATTGTCATTGTATGATTTAATTGATCTTTGATTACTAGTTCTAGTTCTTTCCTTTATTTGTGGTCTCATTTCCTCCCCCCCCCCCCTCGGAGTACTCAACTAGTAATAATTTTTTCCTTAACTTTGTTCAGATTTTTTGTGTATCGTTTGTTGTTTACGATGCGTATCCATTTTATGGCAATTAATAATGTGATTATTTTGTTTCTTGTCACGTGCTTGGATAATGCATGGCAACTGATACTGTAATTAGTAACGATTAACAAGTCACCTTTTTTGCATGGAGTTCATGGAATTATCATGTTCTTTAATTTCCTTTGCCTCTCATATTCTATGAATTCGTTAGCATGTACTAAAGTTGGTAAATCCTTGCTTTTTCCAGGTTTATGAACAATGTTTGACTACTCTGAGGATCCCCAAGTCAATGTTGCATGGTTCAGATTTATTATTGATGGGGTTTCCACAGTGCGGAAGTTCTTATTATTTGCTATTGCAACTTGATAAGGATTTTAAGCCACTTTTTTATCTTTTAGAGAGTCGACCTGAGCAACGTGGAAAGTCGCATATAATTAGTGAAGCCAATTATGTTTTCCGTCTTAACAAAGTCGACATTAATCAGATGCATGTGGTTGGGGATGAATCAAATCTGGCCATTCTTGATTGGAAAAAGATACAATCTGTACCAGTAGGAGCGTCAAGTACCATTGCTGAACACTCTCTTCTTTCTGACTTCGGGATGGATTCTTCCCCTCAGCTTTCCGGATGCTCACAGTCAAAATTTTCATCTGTTGTTGATGAAGTATTTGAATTCGAGAAAGTTAAATCAGGACCTTCTCTTGTTTCCTCACTATTTAATGCGCCCTCCTTTTCACAGTTGAGCACTCTTTCAGCCAATCAGCAAGGGATGAGAGCTGGAATCACACCCAAGCTGGATGTAGGGATGCAACATCCTCAGATTAGTAATGCTACAAAGGCGTCTACTGCAAGTTTAAATAGTTCATTATATGGTGCAAACAATTTAAATGGTGTACTTAATGCCAACAGTCTTCCTTCTTCAAGTCCTGGAAGGAGCTCATCTATTCAGAAACTCTCACATTCAAAATCTGATCAAGAGTTAAGCACTGTTAGATCTCCACATCGGGTTGAAGTTAGCCAGTATGCTGCTAATGATGTGGATCAATCACGATCAGCAAACGATTCTCCCAAAGATATAGATTCTCTGATAAGTGCAAATCGACCAACACAATCATTGTCTCCCCTCCGAGCAAGTGGCTCTCTGATGCATAATGTGAAACCAAATAGCTCAAAGAGTCTGTCTGCTCGTGATGCCTCTGGATTTTCTAAAGGTACTGTATCAGGTTCGGTTGTTACTGCTTCTGTACGTAAGACGATCCCCAAAATATAAAGTTTGCTTATGTTCTAACAAATGTTACTCTTTCCAAGATAGGTTTTGCATTTGATTTTGACTATATTAATATACTCTTGCTGCAGGCCAGACAAGTGAACTCCAAAGTTCCCACAGTTCAGGTTCTAAATCTGTTGCTACACATGCCAAAGCTTCACGCAAGCGGTCACTCTCTGACATCCGAATGCTGATTCCGTCGCTGCAAGGCCTAGAAGCTGATGCCAAATTAACCAAGAGAAGGAAAATTGAAGAACCAGCACTGCACCATAGTACTGCTCCCCAAGCACCTTTGTTGTTATTGACAGGAAAAACTGCAGGATATGTGTATGGAAGCCTACTTGCTGATGCAAATCATGGGCTTGCCCCTTCAAATATATATGTATCTGTCCTTCTCCATGTTATTAAGCATTGTTCATTATGCATTAAGCATGCGCGATTAACTAGCCAGATGGATGCTCTAGAGATTCCATATGTTGAAGAAATTGGTCAACGGGCTCCCTCCTCAAACTTATGGTTTCGATTGCCATTTGCTAGAGATGACTCTTGGAAGCACATTTGTTTGCAGCTTGGGAAACCTGGAAGCATGTATTGGGATGTCAAAATCAGTGATCCACATTTTCAGGAACTGTGGGAACTTTATAAAGGAAGTGCCACTACCCCATGGGGTGGTGGTGTTCGTATTGCTAATACATCAGATAGTGATTCGCACATCCACTATGACCCTGAAGGTGTTGTCTTGAGTTATAAAACAGTAGAAGTTGATAGTATTCAGAGGTTGGTATCAGATTTGCAGAGGCTCTATAATGCTCGTTTATTTGCTTGTGGCATGCGTACGTTAATTGGACTCAGAGGTGATGATAAGCAAGATGATAGTGTCACAAAGTCTGAGAATAAATTACAGTTTTTGTCTAAAGGAAATAGTGAGGCTGGTCATAAGTTATCTGAACAGATGAGGAAAACGTTCAAGATTGAAGCGGTTGGTCTTATGAGCTTGTGGTTTAGTTATGGTTACATGCCTGTGATGGCACATTTTGTTGTTGAATGGGAAGCTGGTAAGAATGGATGCACAATGCATGTGTCTCCTGACCACCTCTGGCCTCATACCAAGGTTTGTTTTCTTTTCTTCTTTTACTCCTCCATTCTAGGCATGGTCCTGTTTGATATTTGATGGCTACTATGTAAATGTTATCATGCATATTGTCACTCTAATTCAATCCGAAGATATTCTTTTATAGGAACTGCCATGTATTTCCTACTTAGGGCCCAGCAGGCTTGAAATTTCACTGCTCTTTTAGTCGTAACTGATGATAGCAGTTTGTTCTTGTAATTTAATAGTTTTGTGCCAATGCTGACTAGTGAAACCCCATCAGCATGCTTTAGAGTTTTTTCTATTCGATTGTGCACTAAGTATAGATTTTTGCTGGTACGCTAGAGGAATTACTTTATAGACTACGTAAATGACTTCTTTGAAGTGCTACTTTTAACTTATGTCAGTGAACAAATCTATGGTTATTCCATGAGAATTTGTCTTGTGACTTGAAAGAGGAAAATATGAAGAACTTGTAGATAAAGGGACTTGATTATAAACGATAACTTTAGTTTTCAATAGTTAGCAATATTCTCATGGTTTTTGGTCACTTGACTACTAATGCACTGATTCCTGAACCAGGAAGTTGTATCTTGCGGATGCTTGTAAGATTCTGATCTAGTTATATCCAATTTTGAATGTCGCATATGTAGTTTGGATGTCACAAATTGACTATAATATTGAGTTTAGAGTTAATGTTCTATCATACTATGATCATATCATACTCTCTTTAGAAGTGTTACTTTGGATAAATCTTTTTATGATCAATGTCACCCTTGACCTTTTTAAATATTACATTCTATTCCTATCATAATTGGAGTTGATTTTTATCTTTAAAAGATCTTTTTGGATATTATATTCTAATCGTATTCTAATTGGAGTTAGGTATTTTATCTTTGAAAGTGTGACTTAGAGTTTTGAATGAACCTTCAACAATCACATTTGATTTGGAACGCATGCATGTATATAATATTAAAGCTATATACTAAAAGTATATCTTGCTTAATAAAATAGGCATAAATCTAGACTAAACAGGAACAATAATTGAATCATATAGTTAAGAATGAATTATAACCATAGAGATATGAGACAAATAAATCTCACTTATACATGTAATTACAGAAAAAGGGGGTGACTAATGTATAAAACGTAAGCATTATATATCTTACACAGTAGCATGGACATAAAACTAAAATAAAGTATAAACTTCAAAAACCTTTAGGCTTAGCCATTTTGAGATACCCCCTTAATATTGTAACTATCACTTTTAGACGTGACCTTTAGTTCGATTGTCTTACAGGTAACCCCCTAACCTTTAGAAATGTCACTTGACTCTCCTTATATTTTACCTGATAAAACCCCATAACTGCCACTGTTAGATTTGACCGTGCATGTGAAAATCATGTGCGTCCAAATAATCAAACTGCCCCTAAGAGAAAAATAACGTTTTCTAGTCTTTTTAAATATTTAGTCTTTTTAAATATTTATAAAGGTACACAAAAACCCCTAAGTTTAGTGTACGGATTTCATTAATTTAGTCACTAATTAACTTAATAATGAGAGTGCTCAGTTGAAAGGGTTATATTATTCTTTTTCATCTAACACCGTTAGGAATGTTAGTTGAAAAAATTGAAAACGCTAGGGTTTCCAAAACACACCAAACTTAAAGAAAGATTAAGAAACATTTATAAAGTTTAGGGTGTTATCTCAATATTAGTTGATATAAGGAGGGGGGGTCAGGGATTTGTCTCATTTTTAAACTTATGGGGTTATCTTAAAAACGTTAAACTTAAAGGGACCTTTGTGAACTTTAAAATAAAAAAATTCTCTCTCTCACGACAAAAGAGAGATCTCTGGAAGTTATTTTTATGGAGCAATAATAGCATGGACATTAGTCCTGCAAAAAAATAATGGATTATTTTTTTTTCTTTTAATTGATAACATAGAACTTTTCATGCACATAGCTTTTTGCTTTTAAGTCTTGGCTGGCTCCATTTGTAGCTAAATAAATTGTCAAATAAATTGTCTACAGTGCTAAAAAGATAGTTCAATTCACTAGCATGCACCATAAAAATTCCTTTCTTTATTGTCAGAATAGTTGAACAAAATAATCAGAAACTACAAAGAAATTGGGATTTCTACTAATGCGCATTGAAAGGAAGCAACCTAGCTGGCAACGGAAGAAACTCGAACCAATCATGAATACCATGTTCTTTTTTTAATTTTTAATAAGATCTCATAAATTCTTGTTTAAACATCTTTCCTTTATAATCAAATTCTTATACAAATTTGATATTATTTTTATTATTTTAAACAATCAAGATATTAACCACGTGCAACATACGTGCTTCTCACTTAGTATTTTATAAAATTTTAAGATTTTATAGTTGGTCCATTATTGAGTTTGCATATATAGTGTAATGCGCTAAAATATAATCTCAACATACTTAAGGAAATCTAAGCATACAAAATGCAAATAATACATGTTTAGGATCACTAATCAACCTTGTACAACAAAAAAGTACAAATTATCCTTGCAACATTTTATCTTAATTTTTTAGGCCAAAATGTCATTTGATATAATGGGAAAATCATATCTCGCCCAAAAATTACCAAACGCAGTATATTGTTTTGTGACAAGCCATATAAAAGGATGTTCGGCTTATATATCAGCCATAACATGGATATATCGCCCAAAATAGCTAAAAAAGGGTAAAAGATATTTATAGACCATTTAGAGACCATATCATTTGTGACAAACCCTATAAAATGATATATTAGGCGATATATTAGGCCATGTCAGGGATATTTAAAACAATGGATGAGTGTGAAGGCTCAAGTTCTACTATCTACCTAGTGAGTAAATATTCATCTGGGCATTATGGGGAAGTACCGATGAAGGATAAGAGTACAATATAAAGCAAAATAAACTCAAAGAAATAAGGGAAGAATATCTTAGAACGTCTATGAGAATAATGTATGGAAAATGAAAGAAATATCTTGAAACAAGCGAGATAAAAACTAGGACCACCTACCTTAGGTTAGAAGAAGCCATGTTCTATTACTTGAGAAAATATTATAGGTGACCAGATCTTCAATGCCGCTTCTCTTGGCCAATCATATGAAGTTGATTATTGTTGCAGGAGATCAAGTATTAGACGAACCGAGAAGAAAAGTAGCTGGTTCGACTGAACAGATGGACGAGACGAGACTCGACTTAAACCATACGAGACGACAACGGCACAGACGAGTCGAGATGATGACAGGATGAGTCGATACAACCCGGCCGAGACGAGCAGATGACTCGAAACGACAAGACGAGTCGACAGGCGACAAGACGAGTCGACACATGTCAGTCGACACGAAAGGCGGGACGACTCGACATGCTTAGTCGACTCAGGTCCAGTCGACACGAAAGACGGTGCTAGTCGGGACGCATCGTGTCGACTCGGATTTCAGATTAGGAAAGAGTTCCTTTTTGTTTGTTTCCTTTTGGGATTTGGTATTTTCTTTTTAGAAGTAGAGTTTCTTTTTTATTAGAGTTAGGATAGGATTAGTTGGCTATAAATATTAGTTCCTTTTGTAAATTGTCAATCGACTTTTTAATTATTCAATTAAGAGAATTTTTCTCCTTGTTTACGTTCTCAACTTTGAGAACGTGAATTACCTACTGTTGTCATGGCTCATCAGCATCAGACTGATATCCGATCGGCCTCCCCGTTTTTACGTCCGTGTCAAGTGGTATCAGAGCTTCGGTTTCAACATCCTTGACAATGGTAGGTGACGACGAGGAGCTTTCTCTACAAGATCTTTCCGCGAGGATGGATTCTATGGATGGAAGATTTAACACGTTGGAGGCGTCTCTTCAAAACCTTCAACAATCCATTGAATGACTTACCCTTCATCTCAACAATGAGAATAATTTCGCCGACGGTCATCACCTAAGCGAACCCAGAGTTAGGCTACCCCAACATCCACCGCCGTACAATCCCTAACCCCTTCCAGTTTATCCCCCTCCATATCAACCACGTCCAAACCAAATCCCTCCAAATCAACCCCCTCCACATCATAGATGACATCCCAACCAACCCCCTCCACATGATGATTCTAATAACAAAGGAGCAGACTATGTCGCCCAATTTAAGGAACCATGATACGACAACGTCTCGAGCGAAGGAGGGCGACCTTATGGCAGAGGTTGGGGCAAAGGTTTTAAACCTCGTCGTAACTATCACCGACAGAGTGGACATCATCACGGCCAAGAGTACCGGATGAAGGTAGAACTCTCCTCCTTTGGAGGAAATCTGGACATAAGAGGCCTTCTTGGATTGGCTATACGAAGTGGAAAAGTTCTTTGAGATGGCTAATATTCCTGAAGCAAAATCAGGTGAAGTTTGTAGCCTATCGTCTCAAAGGAGGAGCCGCGTCATGATGGGATCAAACTCAAAACACTAGGTGACGGCAAGACAAACAATCACTTCGAGTTTGGCGATGCATAAAGTAGTTGCTACAGACAAGATTTCTATCACCTGACTATCAATAAATCCTCTACAACCAGTTCGAGCAATGCCATCAAGGAATCCAAACAGTGAGTGCCTATACCGAAGAGTTCTTCAGTCTTCTCGTTGTGATTTGTCGATGAGCGAGGAACAACTCGCAGCTAAGTATATCGACGGGTTGAAGTACTCAATTCAAGAGAAGGTGGTCATCCATAATGTATACTCTGTGGATGAAGCCCATAATATGGCTCTAAAGACGAAAAGATTGGTTTCCAAGACACTACCTTTCAAGCGAACCGATCGGGGAAGTTCGGTCGAGGAGGCAAGAGGTGAGTCGACAGGGCCAAGGACGATTGATCAGTCTAATCCACCATGATCAGCGGAGCGGTCGACAACTCAACCACCATTCCAGATGACTCAAGCAAATCAGTATGCTAAGCCGACAGCAGGAAAGTGTTTTCAATATGTCCAACCAGGGCATAAGTCCAACGAGTATCCACAGCGACGGAAGGTCAGTTTTGC